TCATTTCTTCACATTATGTTATGAAGCGAACCCGAAGAGTCCCATTGTGTTATTGCGAAGTTACGAATTTATCCTAAAACTGCATAAAAAAAGTCACAAGCCAGGGAATGCCCCCTGTTATACTTCTAATTTCAGCGCTTTATTCACACGACATGAACCAGTCACAGATCAAACAGGACATAATAAAGTTTTAAAATTTGTTAAATGGCACTGGATGATGAACTGAGTGCTCGGAATTTCGAGTCCCTAAATCAGCCCTAATTTGAGTCGCAGCTTAAGAATCAAAGAACAAGGCAGCTTGGAGGTTGATCTCATTTCTGTAGCTTTCTGTACCATTAGAAGCCTTGTTCCCAGTTTTCAGCTTACATTGTTCTAGGATTTAATTTAGTGATCGGCCACACCTTTGCCTACATACAAACAAGCGCAGACTCATACATGCACACATACATACATACACATGTAAACGCACGCACTAACGGTGCAATAACTAAAATTCATTGTCTGTGAAGAAACAAACGCACTGGGAAACATCCCGAGTGATAGCGGCACATGCAAATAACAAAGGCCGGTGGGTGGACTATTGGTAGCTTCATCTTCTAGAAATTATCTGACAGCCAAACTGATTCCTGGCACTGCGAAACAAGTGAATGCCATGTACATAGTGGTTCCGTCACTGGTAGAATCGCATCTTCAACATTTCGCTTTGAGAGCAGCGCTGTTGCCACTGTGTCGTACCTGTCAACGATGCAGTAAACACGTGTAAAAACTGGTATATTTAACGATCCGCTAACAATAATAATGATAATATGCAGCTAATTGATAAAAACTATGGAGATTTATTACTGCTACCGCCTTGATTGTATTTGTAATTCTTACTTTGGTACTACGACCAGCTGTCATTTTCATCACCACTTTTCTTATCGTTGTTACAGTTGGCAAGTTTTGAGCCTTTCTCATCCACATAATTCCTTATGTACATATAAGCCAGTCTTTCCATCGCACTGTGGCTTTCCCCGTGTTTTCCTTTTTTAATGTAGCATGAGTGAATCGTTTCCAACAACCCGCTTTTTCCATCTATTGCCTCTCATTCTTTCCGCATGATCAGCCCAACTGTTCCTCCTGGCGCACACTGGCTTTCGTAGTATCATTCACATCAGACCGAAATCGCAGTACCTCACTGGTGCTATACTATAGTTTGCTAACGCTCATCATGCGTGTCTCATTGAATAACTTTTGATTTTGTTATCTCAACAAATGTGGTATTTCACTTTTCACTTCCCTACTTTAAAACGAGTAAAAAAATCGAGTAGAATAGTATCGCTTTTTCATTCAATTCTGCGTTATTGTTGAAAAATAAACGTTTCATAACATGTGAAGGAACGTTGTCCTGCTCTTTTTCTCCCGCTTAATTTCAAACCCAACTCGTATTAGTCTGTACTGCTTGTCTCGAGTAAACAGAGTTGTTCACCAGGACAAACGACAAATTTTCGAATTCTTTGTCGAATTGGAGGTAGTTCACGTTTTTCGCCCACATGGCTGGATTTGAAGTCCCGTTTCATCTCTGTTGTTCGCTAGTTTCCTTATCGGATTCTATAATTCCTGTAGGTTTTCTAGAATGAGCAAAATGTCGCCTGCAAAAATTAGTGTGTGGTATTTTTTACCACGATACAAGACCACTGTCTCGTTTCTGTTCTTCATAGGACACTTTCGACTGCAATGATGAAGTTTTCCGGGAAACAAATGACGTGTTATTTCACGAGTCTGCCAATCTCAATTTTACGAGCCTGTCAAAAAAAAAGTGATTTCCGTGCACCCGGATCGTGAAGGAATCTTTAATAATTCAGACATGTCGGATCGACTGCTGTAAAAGAGCCTGCATTAAGGGATTGCGTTTCATGGATCGAAATGTTTAATGGAACCGAAGAAAAGCAACCGCAAAAGAATTTAGTAATCTCTGTGTCTTTCTATCAGTTTTGATACTGTGGGATTAAAGGCGTTACTAGTGTAAGGGGCGAGAGATGGTCCTTAGAATGTAAAAATGTAAACTAGCAATATTTAAAGATCAAAAATCCGTTTTTTCGAATACGATGATTAATGGAGGTTTGGTGCTACGAGCTGATCCGACCCTTTTTATTAGCACGTCCTTCTACTTGCGCTACGTCACTCTAGGAAACTACTGTCCGGAATCTG